CTAGGTTTTCTATCAGTTTTAACAACTTATAGGCCAAAATACTAGCCAAGAAACTACACAGAGGTAGCATTCAAAATCTTCCATCCAAGTTACTATGTACTTTTTTTTTTTTTAGATGGAGTCTTGATCTGCCGCCAGGCTGGAGTGCAGTGGCACAATCTCGGCTCACGGCAACCTCTGTCTCCCAGGCTCAAGCGATTCCCCTGCCTCAGCCTTGTGAGTAGCTGGGATTACAGATGAGTGCCACCACACCCGGCTAATTTTTTGTATTTTAGTAGAGATGGGATTTCACCACGGCCAGGATGGGTCTCAATCTCCTGACCTCTTACCCGCCTGCCTCGGCCTCCCAAAAGTGCTGGATTACAGGAGTGAGCCACTATGCCCCGCCCAAGTTACTTTGTTTTTTTACAATCTACTGATTTTTTTAAATGGGAGGTTTCAAACATACATATATAAAAGTGGAGAGTAATAAACACCTAGTTAAACCAATAATGAACTCAGGGCTATCCTTTCATATATACCCCTGCATCCACCACTTTTGCCTCCAACACTGAATTGACCATAGTGAACTAATGTTTTTACCAAACTATAATAATCTAATTATTTTATGTTATTTATTTTTTTTTTTTGAGACAGAATCTCGCTCTGTCGCCCAGGCTGGAGTGCTGTGGTGTGATCTCGGCTCACTGCAACCTCTGCCTTCTGGGTTCAAGCAATTGTTCTGCCTCAGCCTCCAGAGTAGCTGGGACTACAGGTGCATGCCACCACGACAACTAATTTTTGTACTTTTAATACAGACAGGGTTTCACCGTGTTGGTCAGGCTGGTCTCAAACTCCTGACTTCAAGTGATTCACCCCTCTTGGCTTCCCAAAGTGCTAGGATTACAGGGGTGAGCCACCATACCCAGCCTATTTTAAAAAATATTTTTATGGGAAAATTTAAACCTATACAAAAGTAGAGAGTATAATATAATGAATCCCTATAGACCCATAAGCTAGCTTCTTCCATAATTACCAACTCAGGACCAACTGCTGTAACTAAAAGGTTACAGCAATACTCTTTCCTTACTAGATTATTTTGACAGACATCCATCCTTTTATCTATTAATAATTGAGTATGTACCTCTAAAAGATAAGAATTTTTAAAAAACCAGTCTAGATGTTAACTAGACTATTAAACTCCATTAGCATGCCTAAGAAATTAACAATTCTTTTTTTTGAGAATCAAAAAAAAAGAGGATCAATTTTGAGACTGAGTTTCACTCTTGTTGCCCAGACTCGACTACAATGGCATGATCTTGGCTCACCGTAACCTCCATCCCCTGGGTTCCGGCCAGTCTCCTGTCTCAGCCTCCTGATTCGCTGGGATTACAGGCATGTGCCACCATGCCCGGCTAACTTTTTTTTTTAAAAATAAAGACGGGGTTTCAGGCCAGGCGCGGTGGCTCAAGCCTGTAATCCCAGCACTTTGGGAGGCCGAGGCAGGTGGATCACGAGGTCAAGAGATTGAGACCATCCTGGTCAACATGGTGAAACCTCGTCTCTACCAAAAATACAAAAAATTAGCTGGGCATAGTGGCATGTGCCTGTAATCCCAGCTACTCAGGAGGCTGAGGCAGGAGAATTGCCTGAACCCAGGAGGCGGAGGTTGCGGTGAGCCGAGATGGCACCATTGCACTCCAGCCTGGGTAACAAGAGTGAAACTCCGTCTCAAAAAAAAAAAAAAAAAAAAAAAAAACGGGGTTTCTCCATGTTGGTCAGGCTGGTCTCGAACTCCCGACTCAGGTAATCCGTGGCACAGTGGCTCATGCCTTTAATCCCAGCACTTTGGGAAGCAGAGGCAGACAGATCACTTGAGTCCAGGAGTTCCAAGATCAGCCTAGCCAACAAGGTGAAACCCTGTATCTACTAAAAATGCAAAAATTAGGTGGGTGTGGTTGCAATCCCAGCTACTCAGGAGGCTGAGGCATGAGAATTGTTTGAACCTGGGAGGCAAGGTTGCAGTGACCCAAGATCATGCCACTGCACTCCCACCTGGGTGACAGAGCAAGACTGTCTCAAAAATAAAAATTAAAATTAAAATTAAAAAAAAAGAAAAAATTGGCCAGGTGTAGTGGCTCCTGCCTGTAATCCTAACACTTTGGGAGGCTGAGGCAGGAGGATCATGAGCCTAGGAGTTCAAGATCAGCCTGGGAAACAAAGCCAGACTCCATTTCCTTAAAAAATTAAGTTAAATTAAAAAAAAATTTTAAATAATAAACCAATCTGTAGAACCATAAACCTGTACTGTTTTCCACAATGTAATGCATTGCCCTGTAAAACACTACAATTAAGACTGCCATTTTAAGGACTCTGAATTCTGTGAAGATCAGGCACTTTTCTGAAACCCTAAGACGATTATTTTTCAATTTTCTTCATTCTTTGTTTCTACCTAGAATCAAGTTCACCACCAAAATACTACTACTATATTAACATCAATCCTGCTGACATCTAGTATTCATTCATGTGAAATGTAATTCTTGGGGTTCTTAAGATTTCGGCAGAATTTTTGTCAATTCCCCAGGACCTTAGGCAAAAAATCAGGGAAATGAAGTGACTGACTCAGTCTGCCAAAAGTGGACATTCTGAAATACTACTTTCTAAGTTCAAGAAACACACTTAAGGAAATGAATCTTCCTCTCTTTCTCAAATTACACAATTGGAAATTAATTTAGATACTCTGGAGCTCCTCCAGCTGGTCGGCCAACTAAGAGAAAACAGGAAGTGGGAGATTCTAGCTTAGCTGGACCATATCCAGGTCTTCATAAGGAACTATCTTTGGCTGACATGCAAAAAGATTCTTTCAGCAAGAACATTAATCTTGAACTTAAATACCAAAACTATGGTTAACTCCATCTGCCCCTTAGGTCTAAAGCCAGTAAGACAGATAGCTGGGTCCTAGGTCTTTCATAACTGGCATTATTGTAAGTCCATGCCACTGACTCACCTTTGCTTGACACAAGTCAGTTTTTCCTCTACGTCGATTTTTTTTTTTCTTCCAGCCTCAACAAAATCCCTTTAATGAAACAGACCTGGAAACCTGAGCTTTGATTACTGTCTCCACCAGAGGCCTGTACAGGCCAAGTTATCCAAGCTTTAAAATGTGTGACCTGAGGTCAGGAGCGGTGGTTCATGCCTGTAATACCAGCACTTAGGGAGGTCGAGGCAGGAGGATTGCTTAGGCTCAGGAGTTCAAGACCAGCCTGGCACTGCAAGACTCTGTCTCAAAAAAATAAAAAATAAAATTAAAAAAGTGTGTCCTGAAAGCTGGGTGTTTGACAAAAAGGAAAACAGTGCCTTTCCAAAACCGAAGGTCCCTAACCAAAGAGGTCGCTTTAAGAGGGTCTCGAAAAAAGGAGGATGGGATGAGAAGGATGTGTGGGTAGTGTCATATTTTTACTTGAAGACTTCGTCCTAGTCTTCCAGTTATCGTTTCCTAGCACTTCATGTTCCCAAGACGGTGTCACCACCCCGAGGACTCCCTCTCAATTTCTTTGCCTAGGCCCTCTTTCTACTAGGGAGTCGTGGCCTTCCACCAGTTGAAGCCGGATGTTCTGAACCACAGACCCTCCAACACTCCGGCGCTTTTCGTCCACTCGGTCCCTCTGAACAAGAACGGCTCTCTCATCCAATCACTAAAAAGATTAGGTGTCCCGAGACATGGCAAAAGTGCCCTGTCTTCTTTGCAGGATTCCTCCCTTGAACTTCCCCAAACCATCTTAGTGTGACGTGACCCCACCCCTAGGTAACCGCAGCTGCTTCCTTACCAGCTTCCCGCCCCCGGGGGGCGCCTGCCAGAGGCCAATGCAAGGACCGTCCGCGGACAGCTCTGCCGCTATCCCTGTGGCGGTGAATCTAACATGGCGGATAAAGACAGTAACTAGTCCCCTGTTTCTCTGAGTTTTCGCCAAGATGATTGGCTCTTGCCATTTGTCCCTCAAAACGACCACCCCATTGATTGGTGGAGATTGTGTCGACAGGGGCGGGGCAGAAGCAACCTGTAGCCGAACAACAATAACAAACATTGGGGCCGAGGGGCGGAACTACGAGTGCGCAGACGTGGGTCAGAGCGGATTTCCCTTTCCCCAGGCAAATTCGGTAGCCCCTGCGTTCCCACAGGCCACTAACCTTAGAGGACTCGTGGGGCTGGATGGGAATTGTAGTCTTCCTAGGAGTTATAGGTATCTTTTTTTTTTTGGCCTAGTCTCCGCTCTCAAGATACAAAAACAACAACACTCCAATCCATAACTGTTGACATGTATAAGCGCTCGGAGGTCTCCAATTTATCCAGTGGATTTCCGTGAGAATTATGCCCGCTTCGGTATTGGATCGTCCGCTCCATGAGACTACAGTTTTCAAGGAACACTGTGGCGAAGGCCTTTCATTCTGCAATGCATGGTGGAAATCGTAGTTCTTCTCTTCCACCACCGTCGCCCCCCGCCACCACAATCCTTTTATTTACCTAAACAGGAGACCTCCATTGGAGCGGAAAGAGTGTGGGAATGGAACCTCTTACGACTGCTTTGAACACTATCTTGCGGTCACATTCAGGTCTCTGGTAACGATTCTGGCCTTCGTACAACAATTACTGTGACGTAATAACCCGCAAGCGTTAGCGTAGATGAGAGTGAGCGGGCGCTTTCTGGCAAACCCAGGTAGAATGCTTCCTCTTCCGTCTCTTTCTTTTTACGTCATTCGGGGGAAGGCTGGATGGCCAATCCAGAGCCTCGAGAGACGCTTGGCTCTTTCTGTCTCGCCCTTCCTCGGATGCGTCTTGAATTCTGAGAGGCTGTTGTTCAGTGGTAGCCCGCTGGTTTCCGTGGCAACGGAAAAGCGCGGGAATTACAGATAAAACTACGACTGCGCAGCGTGATCTCGCTGAGACTCGGAACAGTGGACCGGGCCTGAGGTTTCTCAGATAACTGGTCCCCTGACCCCCAAGAGGCCCCGACGCCTGTACGCTCTGCTCTGGGTAAAGGTAATAGAACCCTGGGAAAGGGACAGGGTCCCAAGGGATGCTCCGGGGGACTGGTGGGCGAGAGTGAATTTCCGAAGCAGAACAGATAGGTATTCTTTAGGCTGGGGGTGGGGGGACGGTGGAACCTAAGAGGCGTAAGGCGTTGTGAACCCTGGGGAGCGGGGCAGTTTGGAGATCGCAGGGGAAGCACTGAGGATAAGGAAGGGGGCACGGTGTGTCCCAGGGGGAATCCTAGTTGTAGGAACTGGAATGTGCCTCGAGGGAAACAACGTGTCCATAAGAATACCGGCTAGTGGCCGGGGGCAGTGCCTCACACCTGTAATCCCAGCACTTTGGGAGGTTGAGGTGGGCGGATCACGGTGTTCGAGACCAGCCTGACCAACATGGTGAAACCCCGTCTCTGCTAAAAATACAAAAATTAGCCGGGCGTCGTGGTGCACGCCTGTAATCCCAGCTACTTAGGAGGCTCAGGCAGGAGAACCGCTTGAACCCAGGAGGCAGAGTTTTCGGTGAGCCGAGTTCGCGCCTTTGCACTCCAGCTTGGGCAACAGAGCCAGACTGTCTTCAAAAAAAAAAAAAAAAAAAAAAAAAAACACCGGCTGGTATATATGAGAGGATGGGAACTTGGCGGAAGAAAAAGTGGCAGGAATACATCTGGGAAAGGGAGGAGACAAGATTTTGTGGGAGGGAGAACCCTTAAGAACTGGATCCATTTGTGATATTGATAAAGCACAACAGGGAAGTAGAGGAACGTCAGTAGTAACAGATGCTGCAGGGATGTGCTTAAGGCGAATCCTGAGATGAGATCAGGTTACTGGGAAAGGTTAGGTGCCGGGAGGCGTTGATTGGTGTTGGTTTTGTCATTGTTGGTTTCGGTTTTATGCAAGAAGAGGAAAACAGCCAGAAGCATTGGAGAAAGCTAAGGCTGCCACCACCTACCCGGTCAGTCAGTCCCCTGTGGCTTTCTCTTGGAGAAAGGAAAAGACCCAAGGGGTTAGAAGCGATATGTGAAAAAATAGAGAATTTATGTTGTCTAATTACAAAAAGCAACTTCTAGAATCTTTAAAAATAAAGGCTTTTGTAATTAGCTCTATGGTTTATATTCTAAAACCTTCCAAATCTTAAATTTACCTTATTTTTCAATGAAAAGATGAAGTTGTCATTTTATAAATCTTTTTAAAATATAAATACATATGTTTTTCTAATGTGTTAAAGTTTATTAGAACAGAAAGAAATGGATTTATCTGCTGTTCGTGTTGAAGAAGTGCAAAATGTCCTTAATGCTATGCAGAAAATCTTAGAGTGTCCAATCTGGTAAGTGAACACATGAGGTTGTTAATTTGGAACTCCTGTATGTTCGCCTCCAATGCAAATGAACAGAATTGACCTCACATAGTAGTGAAGAAAAGACCTGTCTAGTAAGATCAGGAATTATTGGAATTGCTGATTTTCTTAACTGAAGAACTTTAAAAATATAGAAGACGACTCCTTGTTCTTCATCCACTCTGCCGCTCCCACTCCTCTCCTCTTCAACACAAATCCTAAGGTCTAGGAAAGACAGGGACCCTGTCTTGATTGGTTCTGCACTGGGGCAGGAATCTAGTTTAGATTAAGTGGCATTTTGGCTTTCTTCTAGCTCTAAAACCACTTCCATCACTTGAAATGGCAAAATGGATGAGGCTGGGCACGGGTGGCTCACACCTGTAATCCCAGCACTTTGGGAGGCCAAGGTGGGTGGATCATGAGGTCAGGAATCGAGACCATACTGGCCAATGTGGTGAAACCCCATCTCTACTAAAAATAACAAAAATTAGCTGGGAATGGTGGCTGTGCCTGTTATCCCAGCTACTCACGAGGCAGGGGAATCGCTTGAGCCTGGGAGGTGGAGATTGCAGTGAGCCGAGACTGCCACTGAACTCCAACCTTGACAGAGCTAGACTGCATCTCAAAAAAATATATATAATAATGGATGATTGGTGTCATTGAGGGGATAGGTCTTTGGAAGAAGCTTTGTCTGAAACTGGCTGTGTACACTTGAATAAGAATAATGCAAGTTATCAAAGCCTTTAGCAAGTCTGACTCTGAGTGAGCCTTTGTTTTTCTTCATCTATAGAAGGAAGTGGGGACTGTACTATTCATACTTTGTTTTTGAATTGAGGTATAATTTACATACAATGAAATGTAGAGGCTTTTTTTATACAGGATTTCTGTCGAGAAGCTAAGAGTGCGGTGGTGCTATCACAGCTCACTGCAGCCTCCACTTTGCCAGGTGATCCTCCCACCTCAGCCTCCAGAGTAGCTGGGACTACAGGTGTGTACCACCATGCCCAGCTAATTTTTATATTTCTTTTTATTTATTTTTATTTTTTAAATTTTTTAGTTTTTATTTATTTTTTATTTTTTTTTATTTTTTATTTTTTATTTTTTTATTTTTTTTGAGACGGAGTTTCGCTCTTGTTACCCAGGCTGGAGTGCAATGGCGCGATCTCGGCTCACCGCAACCTCCGCCTCCTGGGTTCAGGCAATTCTCCTGCCTCAGCCTCCTGAGTAGCTGGGATTACAGGCACACGCCACCATGCCCAGCTAATTTTTTATATTTTTAGTAGAGACGGGGTTTCACCAAGTTGACCAGGATGGTCTCGATCTCTTGACCTCATGATCCACCCGCCTCGGCCTCCCAAAGTGCTGGGATTACAGGCTTGAGCCACCGCGCCCGGCCTAGTTTTTATTTTTTTTAAGATGGGGTTTCACCATATTGGTCAGGCTGGTCTCGAACCCCTGACCTCAGGTGATCCGTCTGTCTCAGCCTCCCAAAGTGCTGGGATTATAGGCATAAGCCACCGCGCCTGGCTTTAATTTTTATATTTCTTTATACAGATAGGGTTTTGTTATGTTGGCCATGCTGGTCTCAGACTCCTGACCTCAAGTGATCTACCCACCTTGGCCTCCCAAAGTGCTGGGATTTCAGGCATGAGCCACTGCACCCAGCCACAGTTTGATAATCTTGATTGAAATACCACCTTTCATTTCCATACAGCGCTATTTAAAATTATAATACCCCCAACACAGACTTTATCCTCCATTCCTGCTTCTTCTCCATAACACTTATTACTGGCTGACATTCTATGTAATATATTCATCCTTTATCCCTGTCCCACAGAATGTAAACTCCAGGATGCGAGAGATTTTTATTTTGTTCACGTACATCTGTATCTTCAGTAGTTAGAACAGTACTAGGGACCTAGTTGCCACTTAATAAGCGTTTGTCAAATAAATTAAATAATAAACTGAACTAAATTAGTTCTTTGGTAGTTTAATTTTGTAAAATACGGTGATGGTTAATAGGAACATTCAAAAAATAAGTTGAAAAGTTGTACCTATTGCCTCTTACCCTCAATAAAGAAGGGTAAATTCAAGCAAATTTTCTTTTATTCTTTATGAAAGTTGTTTCTCATATTTGGTGTCAACTTAATCAGATTAAGGAAAATGCAAATTGTGCTTTTAGAGAGATACAAGGTTTATAAATAGCCATCCTCTCCCTTGCCAGTCAACCTTTTAGCTAAACAAAAATAAGATGAAGGCCAGGCGGGGTGGCTCATGCTTGTAATTGCAACACTTTGGTAGGCCAAAGCAGGCGGGTCACCTGAGGTTAGGAGTTTGAGACCAGCCTGACCAACATGGAGAAACCCCATCTCTACTAAAAATGCAAAATTAGCCAGTGTGATGACACATGCCTGTGATCCCAGCTACTTGGGAGGTTGGGGCAGGAGAATCTCTTGAACCTGGGAGACAGAGGTTGTGGTGAACCAAGATTGCCACATTGCACTCCAGAGTAATGAGTGAAACTCCATCTCAAAAGAATAAATAAATAAATAAAATCAGAGGAAAACAAGATTTATAATTTATCAATTTATTGAAAATCAGAGCCAGAGAAGCAGGAAATGACATTGTAGGGAAAAAAAACTGCTTTTGAAAAAGCGCAAAACTTATTCATGACAACCATAGTGATCAAAAAAATCCTCACTAGTGTGGCATTTGGATCCATTTATGTTTACATTTCCATGGGACAGAGTCATAAAAATAGCATGTTCTTTCTCCTTCTGGCTAATTAAACCATCAAGTAAAAACTCAGATACACAAAAATTAAAGATATAAGAATGAAAGTTAATGCTAAATTTTTATTGCTTTTTTCTCGTTTTCTGTTAGATTATTATTATTATTATTTTTTTTTGAGACAGAGTCTCGCTGTGTCGTCCAGGCTGGAGTGCAATGGCACAATCTCTGCTCACTGCAACCTCTGCCTCCTGGGTTCAAGCGATTCTTCTGCCTCAGCCCCCTGAGTGTCTGGGATTACTGGCATGTGCCACCATGCCCGGCTAATTTTTGTATTTTTAGTAGAAATGTGGTTTCACCATGTTGGTCAGGCTGGTCTCGAACTCCTGACCTCATGATCTGCCTGCCTCGGCATTCCAAAGTGCTGGGATTATAGGCATGAGCCACCACGCCCCACCTACATTATTTTTTCATGGTTTTTTAGACTCATTTTATGAAAAGTTCTAAGATGGGGATTGTATTTCACTTTTAATACAGTACCCAGGATAGCGCAATTTGCAGTTATTCCTGATCGTGGCTGGAAACGGTATTATTTGTGGTAGATATAGGGTAAGTTTTCAGCTTCTTTTTTTTTTTTTTTTTTTTTTTTTTGAGACGGAGTTTCGCTCTTTTTACCCAGGCTGGGGTGCAATGGCGCGATCTCGGCTCACCACAACCTCCGCCTCCTGGGTTCAGGTAATTCTCCTGCCTCAGCCTCCTGAGTAGCTGGGATTACAGGCACGCGCCACCATGCCCAGCTAATTTTTATTTTTGTATTTTTAGTAGAGACGGGGTTTCACCATGTTGACCAGGATGGTCTTGATCTCTTGACCTTGTGATCCACCTGTCTCGGCCTCCCAAAGTGTTGGGATTACAGGCGTGAGCCACCGTGCCCGGCCTAGTTTTCAGCTTCTTTAGGTTTGTCAAACTAAAATTCTTTCTGCTGGTCTCTAAGTCACTACTGGCAGCTGTTTCTGATAACTGGTAGTTCTTTGTAACTTTTTACATAAGACTGTCACATTTTTGACTTTCAGAATAATTTGTTAAAATATGTACCCCAGTGGGTTATTTTTCAACCTAAACCTAGCTGCTTTTTCCAGTCACTTACCCGTATTGGAAGCTTAAAATGCAAATATACAGTAGGCCTAAAATATTCCCTGGTTTGAAAAGTGTTTAAAATATTTGAATCATTTTTATAGTAAACATTTACTCTCATCAGGATCTAGAAGAGGAACATTTTAATTTTTTTCCGATTCCCTTTTTACACTCTTTCTTCAACATTCATTACCTTTTTACATATTGAAGTTTTCATCTGTTCAAAGTTTGTGTTTACAGTGTGTTTATATAGCTTGGATTATAATTACCATACTGAAATACAGTTATTTCAGAATTGAGTCAGTGGCGAGAATGAAAGCCATCTGGTATCATAACCAAATCCAATTTTTCTTTTACGGAGAATTTCTTTGAAATGTAGCTTAGAGGCCGGGCGCGGTGGCTCAAGCCTGTAATCCCAGCACTTTGGGAGGCCGAGGCGGGTGGATCACAAGGTCGAGAGATCGAGACCAACCTGGTCAACATGGTGAAACCCCGTCTCTACTAAAAATACAAAAAATTAGCTGGGCATGGTGGCGCGTGCCTATAATCCCAGCTACTCAGGAGGCTGAGGCAGGAGAATTGCCTGAACCCAGGAGGCGGAGGTTGCGGTGAGCCGAGATCGTGCCATTGCACTCCAGCCTGGGTAACAAGAGCGAAACTCCGTCTCAAAAAAAAAAAAAAAAAAAAAAAAAGAAAGAAATGTAGCTTAGCTCAGAAATAGTGACTTAGTAACACATTAGAATTTTCTTTGTCAAGGTTATTTTTCTTTTTAAAGTCACGTTTGGTCCCAGTAATAATACCAACATTGGTACAAGTCATCTCAGGTTGCGAAGCATTTTCCCAAGAAGACTGGCAGGGTGAATGACACAGAAGAAAACTGAGATTCAGGTAGAATGGTTAGCCCGAGGTGGCTCTGCTTATATACACAACTGCAAGTAGAAACCCAGCCTTCTGACTTAGTTCAGTGTTTTTCTTTCCACTGCCCTGTGCTCCGTCAGGAACCCCATGATTACAAGAGGTGTATTATCAAACCCTTCACAATAAGGTTACTGTCCTCAAGCTTTTCTTGTAACCTTGGTTTTGGTTTTGGTTTTTGTTTTTGTTTTGTCTTTTTTTGAAATGGAATCTCACTTACTCTGTCACCCAGGCTGACTGGAGTGCAGTGGTGTGATCTCAGCTCACTGCAACCTTTGCCTCCCAGGTTCAAGTGATTCTCCTGCCTGAGGCTCCTGAGTAGCCAGGACTACAGGCATGTGCCACCACGCCTGACTAATTTTTGCAGTTTTAGTAGAGACAGGGTTTCTTCATGTTGGCCAGGCTGGTCTCGAATTCCTGACCTCAGGTGATCCTCCCACCTTGGCCTCCCACAGTGCTAGCATTACAGATGTCAGCCACCGCACCTTTTTATCCTTTTCTAAAGAGTTAAATATTTAGTGAAAGGAACCACATTCTTATAACACTACCAGGTTACTTGTTCTTTGATGTCCTGCCTGGACTTTTACCAAAAAAATCTGTTTCAAAAGTTCACATTTAGGGTCAGGTGTAGTGGCTCACACTTATAATCCAAGCCAAAGTGGGTAGATCACTTGAGGTCAGGAGTTCAAGACCAGTCTGGGCAACACGGCGAAACCCCTTTCCTAACAAAAATACAAAAAAAATTGGCTGGGTGTAGCAGCATGCACCTGTAGTCCCAGCTACTCAGAAGGCTGAGGCACAAGAATCACTTCAACCCGAGAGACAGAGGTTGCAGTGAACCAAGATTATACCACTGCACTCCAGCCTGAGCAGCAAAGTGAACCCAAGAAAAAGAGTTCTTCTCTAGAGGGAAAGAACTAATAAACAAAAAAAGGAGGGGTTCAGCTGGACTCTGGCTTATGCCTGTAATCCCAGCACATTGGGAGGCTGAGGCAGGTGGATCACCTGAGGTCAGGAGTTCGAGACTAGGCTGGCAAGCGTGGAAACCCCATCTGTACTAAAAAAAAAAAAAAAAAAAAAAAAAAAAAAAAAAAATTAGCTGGGCATGAAGGCAAGTGCCTATAATTCCAGCTACTCCGGACGCTGGGGCACTAAAATCACTTGAACCCAGGAGGCAGAGGTTGCAGTGAGCCAAGGTCACACCATTGTACTCCAGCCTGGGGGACGGTGCAAGACTATAGCCCCTCAAAGAAAGTTAACGTTCAGAAGAAAGCAAAATGCCAACTGGGTATGGTAGCTCATACCTGTAAGCTCAATACTTTGGGAAGCTGAAGCAGGAAAATTGCTTCAGGACAGGCATTCAAGACCAGCATGGGCAACATAGTGAGATCCTGTCTCTATAAAAATTAATATTACAAATTAAAAAGACAGCCAGGCATGGTGGCTCACACCTGTAATCCCAGCACTCTTGGAGGCTGAGGCAGGAGAATTGCTTGAACCCAGGAGGCAGGAGTTTACAGTGAGCCAAGATTGTGCCATTGCACTCCAGTCTGGGCGGCAGAGTGAGACTCTATCTAAAATAAAAAATAAAAAAAATTAAAAATTGAAAAGACCAGAATAGGCCGGGCGCGGTGTCTCAAGCTTGTAATCCCAGCACTTTGAGAGGCCGAGGCAGGTGGATCACGAGGTCGAGAGATCTAGACCATCCTGGTCAACATGGTGAAACCCCGTCTCTACTAAAAATACAAAAAATTAGCTGGGCATGGTGGCACGTGCCTGTAATCCCAGCTACTCAGGAGGCTGAGGCAGGAGAATTGCCTGAACCCAGGAGGCGGAGGTTGCGGTGAGCCGAGATCGCCCCATTGCACTCCAGCCTGGGTAACAAGAGCGAAACTCCGTCTCAAAAAAAAAGAAAAGACCAGAATAAAGCTAAAGACTTTAAAATAGCCTGCAGGTTCCTACCAGAAGTTACCAGGTACCTCTCTGATGGTCTTTTCCTACTATATCCCCCTGGATTATTATATTTTAGCACCTTGACCTGTCTGATGTCTTGCATACACAGGTATGGTCCTGCTCAGGGTTTGCATTCTCTGCTCCCTGTTTGCTGGAATGCTCTTCCCTCAGTTGGTATGTTTCTTTACATTATTAAGCTGTTTTCCAGTCTCACCTCAATGAAGCCTTTCCTAACTTATCCTGTGTACATCTCATCTCACCCCCACATACACATTGTATTCCCTGCTTCCCATTACTCTGCTTGCTTTTTCTCCTTGATACACTTATTCCCCTATATTCTTTAATTCTGCATCAACTGTCTATCACACTAGAATGTGAGCTCTGTGAGAGCAGGCTTTATTTTGTAAACTGCTATATTTCCATCTCCTAGAATAGTACTTGAATATAGTAATAGATGCTTAATAAATACTTGTTATATTAATATAATAAATGAATTAATCTCAGGAAGGCCTTGGTTTTGTAGATAGACAGGTAGGGATGGGAACTTGGGTGATGTATTTTCTCAAGTTTTTTTTTTTTTTTTTTTTTGAGACAGAGTTTCGCTCTTGTTACCCAGGCTGGAGTGCAATGGCGCGATCTCGGCTCACCACAACCTCCGCCTCCTGGGTTCAGGCAATTCTCCTGTCTCAGCCTCCTGAGTAGCTGGGATTACAGGCACGCACCACCATGCCCAGCTAATTTTTTTGTATTTTTAGTAGAGACAGGGTTTCACCATGTTAACCAGGATGGTCTCGATCTCTTGACCTCGTGATCCACCCGCCTCGGCCTCCCAAAGTGCTGGGATTACAGGCTTGAGCCACCGCACCTGGCCAAGTTTTTTTTTTTAAGCTTATTTTCTTTTGTTTTTTTGTTTGTTTGTTTGTTTTTGAGACGGAGTTTCACTCTTGTTACCCAGGCTGGAGTGCAATGGCGTGATTTTGGCTCACCGCAACCTCCGCCTCTTCGGTTCAGGCAATTCTACTGCCTGAGCCTCCTGAGTAGCTGGGATTACAGGCACGCGCCACCATGCCCAGCTAATTTTTTGTATTTTTAGTAGAGACGGGCTTTCACCATGTTGACCAGGATGGTCTCGATCTCTTGACTTCGTGATCCACCCGCCTCAGCCTCCCAAAGTGCTGGGATTACAGGCGTGAGCCACCGCGCCCGGCCCGCTTATTTTCTTTTGAAACAGTCTTCCTGTGTCACCTAGGCTGGAGTGCAGTGGTGTGATCTTAGCTCACTCTGCAACCTCTACCTCCAGGGTTCAAGTGATCCTTCCACCTCAGTCTCCTAAGTAGCTGGGACCACAGGCATGCACCACCATGCCTGGCTAATTTTTGTATTTTTAGTAGAGACGGGGTTTCATCTTGTTGGCCAGGATGGTCTGGAACTCCTGAGCTCAGATGATCTGCCCACCTCAACCTCCTAAAGTGCTAATATTAAGGCATGATGCCGGGCACGGTGGCTCACGCCTATAATCCCAGCACTTTGGGAGGCCGAGGTGGGTGGATCACGAGGTCAAGAGATCGAGACCATCCTAGTCAACAAGGTGAAACCCCGTCTCTACTAAAAATACAAAAATTAGCTGGGCATGGTGGCGCTTGCCTGTAGTCCTAGCTACTCGGGAGACTGAGGTAGGAGAATTGCTTGAACTCAGGAGGCGGAGGTTGCTGTGAGCCGAGATTGTGCCATTGCACTCCAGCCTGGTTAACAAGAGCGAAACTCCATCTCAAAAAAAAAAAAAAAATTACAGGCATGAGGCACCATGCCCAGCCTTAAGCTTATTATTTTCTAAATTTCCTTTAGTGAGTACTTACGTCACTGTTTTTACAAAGTAATCTCATACCAAACATCATGCCTCTTCTGGAGTACACAGTATCATCTGTAAAGTGTTCTTGCCAACCTGAATTTGATTAAGCCTGTAAGTCTACAGGAAATAAGGCTAGAGGAACACGTTAAACCTCACTATGGGGTTATACAATCAGCAAAATCCAGAATTCAGGAAACTCCACAGTTCAAGTGACTTAGTTTTTAAAATAAATGACAAGTAAGAATTTGGGGCTGGGCATGGTGGCTTATGCCTGTAATCCCAGCACTTTGGGAGGTTGAGGCAGGCAGATCACCTGAGGTCAGGAGTTTGAGACCAGCCTGGCCAACATGGTGAAACCCCATCTCTACTAAAAGTACAAAAAATTAGCCGGGTGTGGTGGCGCGTGCCTGTAGTTCCAACTACTTGGGAGGCTGAGGCAGGAGAATCACTTGAACCCAGGAGGCAGAGGTTGCAGTGAGGCAAGATTGTACCATTGCACTCTGGCCTGGGCTACAAAAGTGAAACTCCATCTCAAAAAAAAAAAAAAACCCTTGGGTCTGGTATGATGGCTCATGCCTGTAATCCCAGTGCTGGGAGGATTGCTTGAGCCCAGGAGTGCAAGGCTGCAGTGTGCTATGTTCGCACCACTGCACACCAGCCTAGGCGACACAGTGAGATCTCATCTTAAAAGTAATAATAATCAAAATAATCTGGGGTAGGAGTGGATATGGATGAAACGGATTGGACATGAGTTGCTGGTTGTTGAAGCAGGGTGATGGTCCATAGAGTTCATTTTATTTTATTGAAATTTTTAAATACTTGAAATTTTCCATATTAAGTTAAAGGCATTTACACTCAAAAAAGAAAAATGCTAGGAAGGAATTCATAAGAAATATAAGCAAAAAATTTTGTCTTTGTGGAGTTTACAGTTAAGATATTAGATGTGTATTCACAGTGATAGTGCAGAAAAATACACTACTGGAAATGAATTATGAACTATTATCAACTAATTTTTTTCAATGCTGATGATAATATAGAGTATTGAAGGGATAACTGTAGTTCTGTTTTGATGTTTGAAAGCTCACTGAAGGTAAGGTTCGTATTCTCTGCTGTATTCTTAGTTCCTGGCACAGCAGGCATTTAATACATATTTACTGAATGAATGTGAAGGCTTATGTTGATTCAGTTATAACAGCTCAAAGTTAAACTTCTTTACTAAGAATATCTTTGTTTTTAAATAAATTATTGAACCTTATTTATTTTCCTTCCCCCACCGCCAACCCTACTAGTCTGGAATTGATCAAGGAACCTGTCTCCACAAAGTGTGACCACATATTTTGCAAGTAAGTTGAATGTATTATGTGGCTCCATTATTAGCTTTTGTGTTTGTCCTTCAGAACCCGGGAAACACCTAACTTTATAAAAACTTTAGTTTCTTCAATTAAGTGAGAAAGAAAAATCCAACTCTATTTCATTCTTTCTCAGAGAGTATACAGTCATCATAAGTTGGTTGTAATCATAGTTCCTAGTCAAGTTATATATTATCAATTAGGATGTAAAATCACTTTGAACAGTATTTTGTATTTTTCGTGTCCACCAGTAAAGACAAACTGCAAGCATTTGTGAAATAAGCAAACAGTGTTTCATCCTTCCCAGTTTCTCCTTTCTGTTCATTTCTGCATATGCTTCTGCATTTCCCCTTCTAAGGTTCAGTGTTTGCCTGCTTCAAAATAATTGTGAAGACAGGAAAGGACCTGATAACAGTTTCCATTTAGGCGGAAATTCATTCATAGCAGTGATTCAAGTTATATTTACATATTTGATCTTGCCCTTTGAAATGAAAATGTTTGTTTCTTAATGAAAGGATTTCAGAAAAAGTAGAGTAGGTAATTTAGTAGAACAAGTGAGCTTTCTTCTTTCCTTTATGTTAAGCTATGATCACATCTTACCTTAAATGTCAACTAATTTGTTTTTAATATTTATGTACCTGGTATATAACCTGGTACCAGGTACAAACTATGTACTTGGTAAAAAGTTTACTGACACAAAAGGGTATTTAATGCAAAGTATATTTTCCTCTTACCCTACAACCCCTGACTCCTTGTTCCCTCCCCAGACAACCACAATGATCAATTTCTTTTGTATCCTTTCAGGAATTTTTAAATTCCAGAATGCTTTTTCCTTTTTGAGACAGAGTTTTGCTCTTATTGCCCAGGCTGGAGTGCAATGGTGCGATCTCAGCTCACCGCATCTCCACCTCTGTCACCCAAACTGGAGTGCAGTAGCACAGTCTTGGCTGACTGCAACCTCCGTCTCCCAGGTTCAAGCGATTCTCCTGCCTCAGCCTCCCGAGTAGCTGGGACTACAGGCGCGCACCACCACGCCCCAGCTAATTCTTGTATTTTCAGTAGAGTTGGGATTTCACTGTGTTGGCCGGGCTAGTCTCGAACTCCTGACCTCAGGTGATCCATCCACCTTGGCCTCCCAAAGTGCTGGGATTACAGGCCTGAGCCACTGCACCTGGCCTTATTTTTTGAAAGTACTGGTCTGTGAAGAAATTGGTCTATACCATAGGCAGTTTGAGAAGTACTGCTCTAGAGGTCAGAAAGTTATTAAACTAAAAATTCTTGAAGTAGAGAGATAAAGTTGTGTTGTCTTGGCACATGTCCAGGGAGCAGGGGCTGAGGAATCAGATGGAAACTGCTGGGAACAGATCTAGGCCAGTGGGGTGACATGGGATAGGGAAAAGACAGTAAAAATGAGCTTCTTAATTCTTACTGGGAAAGAAGATTGAGAGGAAAAAGAATTCAGAGGTAGGCACCAGCCAGCTGGCAGACTTGTGTTCAGGGGATGTCTCTGTCTCAAAAAAGGAAAAGTTATAAAGTCCCAGTGTTGGCCAGGCACAGTAGCTCAGGCCTGTAATCCCAGGAATTTGGGAGGCCAAGGAAGGCAGATCACCTGAGGTCAGGAGTTCAAGACCAGCCTGGCCAACATGTAGAAACCCCGTCTCTACTAAAAAGACAAATTAGGTGAGTGTGGTGGCGCATGCCTATAGTCACAACTACTCAGGAGGCTGAGGCAGGAGAATTGCTTGAACCCTGGAAGTGGAGGTTGCAGTGAGCCGAGATCCTGCCACTGCATTCCAGCCTGGGTGACAAGAGTGAGGCTCAAAGTTCCAGTATTTGTTACAGGTAGCTGAAGGTAACCTTTGAAGTGCTGGGGCTCTCAGTTTCTCTGGATGAGAATCTTTCTGGAATGAACTGTATGTTTATTTAGAACTGTATGTTTTCCCATCACCTTGAGTAACAAATGCTGAACATACTATACTATTACAGTGATTTACAAAAAGATTAAGGACCTGATGTGATAGCTCCTGCCCATAACCCCAGCACTTTGGGAGGCCAAGGCAGGAGGATCACTTGAGGGCAGGAGTTCAAAACTGCAGTGAACTTGGCTGACTGCAACCTCCACCTCCCAGGTTCAAGTGATTCTCCTGCCTCAGCCTCCTGAGTAACCAGGACTACAGGTGCACGCCACCACACCCAGCTAATTTTTTTTGTATTTTTATTAGAGACGGGGCTTCACCTAGTTGGCCAGGTTGGTCTCGATCTCTTGATCTCATGATCCACTCGCCTCGGCCTCCCAGAGTGCTGGGATTACAGGTGTGAGCTACTCTCTGGCCTCTGTGTGTGTGTGTGTGTGTGTTGTTGTTGTTTTTTGTTTTTTGTTTTTTGTTTTTGTTTTTTGATACAGAGTCTCAGTATGTTTCTCAGGCTGGAGTACAGGGGCATGATCTTGGCTCATTGCAACCTCCAACTTCCCGGGATCCAGTGATTCTCATGCCTCAGCCTCCCAAGTAGCTGGGATTACAGGCATGCGCCACCACACCCAGCTAATTTTCTTGTATTTTTAGTACAGACAGGGTTTCACCACATTAGCCAGGCTGGTCTCAAACTCCTGTCCTCAAGTGATCTGCCTTGGCCTCCTGGGATTGCAGGCATGAGCCACTGCACCCAGCCAATAGAGGGCAATAAATGCTAAATTACCTGGCTAGTAAAAAGCATTTTCTATTTTTTTTTTTTTTTTTTGAGACGGAGTTTCACTCTTGTTACCCAGGCTGGAGTGCAATGGCGCGATCTCGGCTCACCGCAACCTCCGCCTCCTGGGTTCAGGCAATTCTCCTGCCTCAGCCTCCTGAGTAGCTGGGATTACAGGCACGTGCCACCATGCCCAGCTAATTTTTTGTATTTTTAGTAGAGACAGGGTTTCACCATGTTGACCAGGATGGTCTCGATCTCTCGACCTCGTGATCCACCCGCCTCGGCCTCCCAAAGTGCTGGGATTACAAACTTGAGCCACTGCGCCCGGCCGTAAAAAGCATTTTCTAAGTGTCTTACCTCACCATTCCCAGTGCCTTTTTTTTCCCTTTGAGACAGAGTCTTAATCTGTCGCCTAGGCTGGAGTGCAATGGTGCGATATTGGCTCACTAACCTCTACCTCCCAGGTTCAAACAATTCTCCTGCCTCAGCCTCCCAAATAGCTGGGACTACCATAGTGATGCTCAGCTAATTTTTGGATATTTAGCTGAGTAGAGACAGGGATTTACCATGTTGGCCAGGCTGGTCTTGAACTTCTGGCCTCAATTGATCCACCCACCTCCCAAAGTCCTGGGATTACAGGCATGAACCACCATGTGCAGCCCCAGTGACTTTTTTAAAGTCCCTTTAATCTTTTCTTTCCTGGCTCTCTTCATTGTCAGTGTCTGCTATTTACTCCCTACCTAGTCACCCTCTTCACCAGAATATTATGTCCTTTATGTTTTATTTTGCAGGATCTTATTTTTCTTTTCTTTTTTTGAGATGTAGTCTCACTCTGTTCCCCAGGCTGGAGTGCAGAGGCACGATCTCATCTCACTGAGACCTCCACCTCCTGGGTTCAAGCAGTTCTCCTGCCTCAGCCTCCTGAGTAGCTGGGACTACAGGCGTGCAACACCGTGCTTGGCTAATTTTTGTATTTTTAGTAGAGATGGGGTTTCACTCTGTTAGCCAGGCTGGTCTTGATTTCCTGACGTCGTGGTCTGCTTGCCTTGGCCTCCAAAAGTGCTGGGATTACAGGAATGAGCCACCATGCCCGGCCCTTATTTTGCTTTTCTATTGAATCCCCTCCATGTAGAATAGTACCAGACATGTTGTAAATATGTAGATATTGGCTGTATGAGTGAATCGCTGCTTTTAATTATCATCACTGTTGCTCTCTCTACTTCTGGTCTATGATCCACTTATTTATTTTTTTTTTTTTGAGATAGAGTTTTACTCTTATTGCCCAGGCTGGAGTGCAATGGTGTGAGCTCGGCTCACTGTAGCCTCTGCCTCCCAGGTTCAAGCAATTCTCCTGCCACAGCCTCCTGAGTAGCTGGGATTACAGGCAGGTGCCACCACTCCTGGCTAATTTTTTGTGTTTTTTGTAGAGACAGGGTTTCTCCATGTTGGTCAGGGTGGTCTCGATCTCCTGACATCATGTTCCACCCACTTTGGCCTCCCAAATTGTTGGGATTACAGGTGTCAGCCACGGTGTCTGGCTATGATCTACATTGAATTTAGTTTTGTTATTTGGGGTGAGATATGAGTATAACGTCATTCTTTTACATGTGGGTATACTCTTGTCCCAACACTATTTGTTAAAAAAAAAAACAAAAACTTATTTTCCCATTCAGTCATCTTGGGGCTGGGAGCAGTGGCTCACAGCACTCTGGGAGGCCAAGGCAGGTGGATTATGGTGAAACTAAAAATACAAAAAATTAGCTCGGCTTGGTGGTGCATGTCTGTAATCCTAGCTACTCAGGAGGCTGAGGCAAAAGAATTGCTTGAGCCTAGGAGGTGGAGGTTGTAGTGGGCCGAGATTGTGTCACTGCCCTCCAGCCTCAGTGACAGAGTGATACTCTGTCTCAAATAATAATAATTTAAAAACAAAATAAAAATTAGCTGGGCACAGTGGCTCATGTCTGTCATCTCAGCACTTTGGGAGGCCAAGGCAGGTGGACCACTTGATGTCAGGAGTTTGAACAGCCTGGTCAACATGGTGAAACCTTGTCTCTACTAAAAATACAAAAAATTAGCTGGACATGGTGGCACACATCTGTAATCCCAGCTACTTGGGAGACTGAGACAGGAGAATCGCTTGAACCAGGGAGATGCAGTTTGCATTGAGCCGAAATTGTACCACTGCACTCCAGCCTGGGCAACAGAGTGAAAACTCCGTCTCAAAACAAAAAACAAACAAATAAAAATAAAAATTGTCTTGATACTTATTGTTGAAAATAACTTGATCATAGATATATGTATGAGTTTATTTCTATACTCTCAATTTCATTTTATTGATGTATATGTCTATTATGCTATTACCACACTGTCTCTTTTTTTTTTTTTTTTTTTTTTTTTTTTTTTTGAGACGGAGTTTCGCTCTTGTTACCCAGGCTGGAGTGCAATGGCGCGATCTCGGCTCACCGCAACCTCCGCCTCCTGGGTTCAGGCAATTCTCCTGCCTCAGCCTCCTGAGTAGCTGGGATTACAGGCATGTGCCACTGTGCCCAGCTAATTTTTGTATTTTTAGTAGAGACGGGGTTTCACCGTGTTGACCAGGATGGTGTCTATCTCTTGACCTCGTGATCCGCCCACCTCGGCCTCCCAAAGTGCTGGGATTACAGGCTTGAGCCACCGTGCCCGGCCCCACACGGTCTTGATTACTATAGCTTTGTAGTGAGGTGTTGAGATTTTAAACTAATTATAGTCATCTTACATGAACTACTTACCATTTATATTTGATTATGCAGCATGAAATAATTATGAATATATCATTAAATATGCCATATTAACTTTTAGTAAGTTTTATGTGATCATAACAGTAAGCCATATGCATGTAAGTTCAGTTTTCATAGATCATTGCTTATGTAGTTTAGGTTTTTGCTTATGCAGCATCTAAAAACAATTGGGAAACTATTGATTGTAATTCACCTGCCATTACTTTTTAAATGGCTCTTAAGGGCAGTTGTGAGATTATCTTTTCATGGCTATTTGCCTTTTGAATATTCTCTCTACAAAAGGAAGTAACTTGGATTGTTCTTTCTTTATAATTTATAGATTTTGCATGCTGAAACTTCTTAACCAGAAGAAAGGGCCTTCACAGTGTCCTTTGTGTAAGAATGATATAACCAAAAGGTATATAATTTGGATAATTATGGCAGGTTGAAAGCAACAACAGTAGGAAAAAGTAGAAATTATTTAATAACATAGCTTGTGTTCCTACAAAACCATTCATCAGTAGACAAATTTATAAAAGAGTTTTTAGCAGACAGTGAATTATTTCCAGAGTTTTTTTTTTTTTTTTTTTTTTTTTTTTTGAGACAGAGTTTCGCTCTTGTTACCCAGGCTGGAGTGCAATGGCGTGATCTCGGCTCACCGCAACCTCTGTCTCCTGGGTTCAAGCAATTCTTCGGCCTCAGCCTCCCAAGAAGCTGGGACTAAAGGCATGTACCACCATGCCCAGCTAATTGTTTGTATTTTTAGTAGAGACGGGGTTTCACCATGTTTACCAGGATGGTCTCTATCTCTTGACCTTGTGATCCACCTGTCTCAGCTTCCCGAAATGCTGGGATTATAGGCGTGAGCCACCGTGCCCAGCCTCCAGAGTTATTTTCCTGAAAGTTTTATGGGACATCTGCCTTATACAGGTATTAGAAACTTACTGCCTTTCTCTAATGCTTCTAAATAGTGTAAGAACTTGCAGACTTATGTAAAGTAGGGCTCTATCGCCCTGTCACAATTGTCTGCTATTGTTTTTATTTTTTTTTTCCACTGTGTTTCTTTTTATTTATTTTTTTAAGACAAGGTCTTGCTCTGATGCCCAGGCTGGAGTGCAGTGGTGTGATCTCAGCTCGCTGCAGCCTCCACCTCCTGGGTTCCTCCTGTGTTAGCCTCCCAAGTAGCTGGGACTACAGGCGCACACTACCATGCCCAGCCAGTTTTTGTATTTTTTTATAGAGATGAGGTTTCGCCACATTGCCCAGGCTGGTAACTCCTGAGCTCAGGCGATTTGCCTACCTGGGCCTCCCAAAGTGCTGGGATTAAAGGTTTGTGTTTCTATCTAATAATTTAGAAAAACAAAATGTATTTATATATTGTGTATCTGTTCTGCCACAAGATAAATTCTATTAGAGTAGTAACTTTGTCTGTCTTAATTAACACTTTCTCTGAAGTTTGGTACATAGTAGGCACTCAGATGCTTAAAGGAATCAATGAATTATGTTTTAATTCTACTTTACTAAACCCAAGTCTTCCTTTGGACATTGTTATCTATTTGTGTTTTCAAAGAAATATAATTTGACAGAAACCCTTGAGAGGCAGCACTAACAGTGAGGGATTGGGTGGGGTTCAGATGTTAAGAACAGTAAACTCAGCAGGGTGTGATGGCTCTTGCCTAAAACCCTAGCACACTGGAATTATCACTTGAAGCCAGGAGTTTGGGATCAGTCTGGGTACCATAGTACATGGTGGCATATCCCCATAGTCCTAGCTACTTGGGAGGCTGTAGGGGGATGATAGCTTGAGTGCAGAAGTTTGAGGCTGCAGTGGGCTATGATTGTGGCACTACATGCTAGCCTACACAACAGAGCAAGATCCTGTCTTTAAATTTTAAAGAAATAAGTTCTCTAGTTTTCTGTTCAGTGGATTTATATCTGCTATGGATTTAGGGCAGTGTTATATCAGATAATTTGAGGCATTTGGTAGACTTCAATGAATGACAAAACATTAATAAAACAGTCAGTACTGTCACATGGTTTATTTGGATGTCAATGATGTATCGATCATAGAGGTGTTCTACTGTTGCTGCATCTTATTTTTGTTTACATGTCTTTTCTTATTTTAGTGTCTTTAAAAAGTTGATAATCACTTGCTTAGGGTGTTTCTCAAACGATTTAATTTCAGAAGCCTACAGGAAAGTACAAGATTTAGTCAACTTGTTGAAGAACTATTGAAAATCATTCACGCTTTTGAGCTTGACACAGGTTTGCAGTGTAAGTATTGAATAGCCCAAGACTGATGCTCAAGTGCTGTCTATGAAAACTCAGGAAGTTAGCACAATTATTTTCTATGATGTGGTGATAAGACGTTTTAGTCTAGGTTAATTTTAGTTCTTTATCAATAATTTTTCTTTTTTTTTTTTTTTTTTTGAGATGGAGTCTTACTCTGTCGTCCAGGCGCAATCTGCAACCTCCTCCTCCCAGGTTCAAGCAATTCTGGCTCAGCCTTCCGAGTATCTGGGACTACAGGCGCGTACCACCATGCCTGACTAATTTTTTGTATTTTTAGTAGAGACGGGGTTTCACCATGTTAGCCAGGATGGTCTCGATCTCCTGACCTCGTGATCTGCCCGCCTCTGCCTCTCAAAATGCTGAGATTACAGGTGTGAGCCACCATGCCTGGCTCTATAATCTGTTTTTTCAAAATTACTCCCACTGGTCTCACACCTATGTTATTAATCCTAATGTGCACATTTTTCACATCTTAACATCTCTGAAATTGGGAGCATTTTACTATTGATGATGTGTCATTTGTTTAATTTGTGTGCTCTCTTTCTTAGTAATACAGGAAATAATAGTGCAACTGACATTGTTGGTGTCTTAGCTTTAGTGAAATACAGTATTGATAGACAAATTTTTTAGTGTTAAGGTAGAAAGCAAGGACTCTAAATAACTCTGATGGTCTGTGTATTTGTTTTTGTTTGTTTCCTAGAAGTAGAATTACCAGTTGATTTTTTAAAAAAATCATCGGTTACCTTAATGCATTGTCTTAACACAGCAAAGAGCATATATAGAGTTTCTCTTGGTTTCTTTGATTATAATTCATACATTTTTCTCTAACTGCAAACAATGTTTTCCCTTGCAATTTACAGTTGCAAACAGTTATAATTTTGCAAAAAAGGAAAATAACTCTCCTGAACATCTAAAAGATGAATTTTCTATCATCCAAAGTATGGGCTACAGAAATCGTGCCAAAAGACTTCGACAAAGTGAACCCCAAAATCCTACCTTGGTAAAACCATTTTCTTACTATTTCTATCCTATCTCTACAAAAAATATAAAAATTAGCCAGGCATGGTGGCAAGACCTGTAATCCCAACTACTTGGGAAGCTGAGGCAGGAGAATCATTTGAACCCTGGAGGCAGCAGTTGCAGTGAGCTGAGATTGTGCCACTGCACTCAAGCCTGGGTGACAGCAAGACTCTGTCCACAACCCCCACAAGAAAAAAAAAGTTATCAGATGTGACTGGAATGTGTATCAAGTATCAGCTTCAGAATATGCTATATTAATACTTCAAAAAATCACGTACATCATCAGTTTTGAAAAAAAACAACAGAAAGAAAAAATATTCAAATCACACATTATTCCAGACATTTTTTTGTTACTATTATTTACTACTCCTATTATTTTTAGAGACTCAGTCTCACTCTGTTGCTTAGTCTGGTCTTGCGCTTCTGGCCTCAAGCAATCCTCCTGCCCCAGCCTCCCAAAGCACTGGGATTATAGGCATGAACTACTGCTCCCAGCCCCAGACATTTTAGTGTGTAATTTTCTGGGCATTTTTTCCAGGCGTTGTACATGTTAGCTGACTGATGATAGTCAATTTATTTTGTCCATGGTGTCAAGTTTCTCTTCAGGAGGAAAAGCACAGACACTGGCCAACAATTGCTTGACCGTTCTTAACATACTTGTTTAGCAGGAAACCAGTCTCAGTGTCCAGCTCTCTAACCCTGGAATTGTGAGATCGCTGAGGACAAAGCAGTGGATACAGCCTCAAAATACGTCTGTCTACATTGACTTGGGTAAGGAGCTCAGATTTTTTAAGTATTTAATAATTGCTGGATTGCTTTTCTTATAGTTTTGCTAAAAATCTTGGTCATAATTTATATTTGTGGTAGGCAGCTTTGGGAAGTGAATTTTATGAGCCCTTTGGTGAGTTATAAATAATGTAAAAGATATAGTTCCCACCTTGAAGAATCTTACTTTAAAAAAGGAGCAAGAGGCTGGGCGTGGTGGCTCATGCCTGTAATCCCAGCACTGAGGGAGGCCAAGGTGGGTGGATCACAAGGTCAGGAGATCCAGACCATCCTGGCCAGCACAGTGAAACCCCATCTCTACTAAAAATACAAAAATTGGGCCGGGCGCGGTGGCTCAAGCCTGTAATCCCAGCACTTTGGGAGGCCGAGGCGGGTGGATCACGAGGTCGAGAGATCGAGACCATCCTGGTCAACATGGTGAAACCCCGTCTCTACTAAAAATACAAAAAACTAGCTGGGTATGGTGGCGCATGCCTGTAATCCCAGCTACTCAGGAGGCTGAGGCAGGAGAATTGCCTGAACCCAGGAGGCGGAGGTTGTGGTGAGCCGAGATCACGCCATTGCACTCCAGCCTGGGTAACAAGAGCGAAACTCCATCTCAAAAAAAAAAAAAAAAAAAAAATTAGCTGGGTGTGGTGGCACATGCCTGTAATCCCAGCTACTCGGGAGGCTGAGGCAAGAGAATTGCTTGAACCAGGGAGTCAGAGGTTACGGTGAGCCAAGGTCGCGCCACTGCACTCCAGCCTGGCGACAGAGTGAGACTCCATCTCAAAAAAAAAAAGCCCGGGGAGGGATGGTGAGCAAGAGAAAGAATATCTGGTTTTAAATATGTTTTGGAAAGATGGAGAGTAGCAGTAAGAAAAAACATGATGAATTGCTACAGTATTTAACGAGATCCAAGATAAATTGTACTAGATGAGGAAGCCTATTTTAAGAAGAGCTGAATCTTGGCCAGGCAGAGCGGCTCATGCCTGTAATCCTAACACTTTGGAAGTCCAAGGCAGAAGGATTGCTTGAGTCCAGGAGTTTAAGACCAGCCTGGCCAACATAGGGAGACCCTGTCTCTATTTTTTTTTTTTTTCTGAGATGGAGTTTTGCTTTGTTGCCCAGGCTAGAGTGCAATGGCGCGATCTCGGCTCACTGCAACCTCTGCCTCCTGGGTTCAAGCAATTCTTCTGCCTCAGCCTCCTGAAGCTGGGACTATAGGCACGTGCCACCACGCCCGGCTAATTTTTGAATTTTTAGTAGAGGCAGGGTTTCACTGTCTTGGCCAGGATGGTCTTGATCTCCTGAACTTGTGATCCATCCTCCTCAGCCTCCCAAAGTGCTGGGATTACAGGCTTGAGCCACTGCGCCTGGCCTCTGTTTTTAAAATAATAATAAATTTTTGGCCAGATGCGGTGGCTCATGCCTGTAATCCCAGCACTTTGGGAGGCCGAGGCAGATAGATCACCTGAGGTCAGGAGTTGGACACCAGCCTGGCCAACATGGTGAAACCCCTCTCTACTAAAAATACAAAAAAAATGCTACTTAGGAGGCTGAGGCAGGAGAATCTCTTGAATCCAGGAGGCGGAGCTTGCAATGAGCCAAGACCATGCCACTACACTCCAGCCTGGGTGATAGAGTGAGACTCCATCTCAAAATAATAATAATAATGATAATTTTTAAAAATAATTTTAAAAAACATATTAAAAGTTATAAAAAGATGGCTGGGCGCGGTGGCTCAAGCCTGTAATCCCAGCACTTTGGGAGGCCAAGGCGGGTGGATCACGAGGTCAAGAGATCGAGACCATCCTGGTCAACATGGGTGAAACCCCGCCTCTACTAAAAATACAAAAAAAAAAAAAATTAGCTGGGCATTGTGGTGTGTGCCTGTAATCCCAGCTACTCAGGAGCCTAAGGCAAGAGAATTGCCTGAACCCAGGAGGCGGAGGTTGCGGTGAGCTGAGACCGTGCCATTGCACTCCAGCCTGGGTAACAAGAGCAAAACTCCGTCTCAAAAAAAAAAAGTTATAAAAAGAAGAGCTGAGGCCAGCATAGTAACTCACACCTGTAATCTCAGCAGTGGCAGAGGATTGCTTGAGGCCAGGAATTTGACACCAGCCTGGGCAACATAACAAGACTTCATCTCTACAAAAAAAACACTTTTTTTTTTAATCAGCTGGGTGTGGTAGTGTGCATCTGTAGTCCTAGCTACTCAGGAGGCTGAGGTGAGAGGATAGATTGAGCCCAGGGGTCTGAGGCTGCAGTGAGCTATAAATCATCCCACTGCACCCCAACCTGGGTGACAGAGCAAGACCCTATCTCCAAAAAAAAGAGCTGAGCTCAGAATTCAAACTGGGCTCTCTAATTGGGTTATTTTTAATTTAAAAGGGTAGCCATCTTTTGACACCCCAGGCACACCACCATCTTAACACTTAACTGTTTTCCACCCTTAGAATCATAAATTCCTAGACAACAGGTATTTACGTAAAAATAATAATACTAGTGATATATATGAGCACTTAACTAGATTCAAGGCACTATTGTGCTTTTCTTGCATAATTCATTTAGATGTTTGTCAGACCTCTGAGATTGTGACTATTGTACTTATTTTACAGATGAGGAAATTAAGGCACAGGGAGGTTCTGAAACATTTCCAACATAGTAAAACTAGTAAGTGGCTGAGCCATGATTCAGACCTAGGAAATTAGGCATCAGAGCCTGTGCTTTTTTTTGTTTGTTTATGTTTGTTTTTGTTTTTTATTTCAGTAGAGAGGGCATCTCACCCCATTGGCCAGGCTGGTCTGGAACTCCTAACCTCAAATGATCCACCTGTCTTGGCCTCCTAAAGTGCTAGGATTACAGGCGAGAGCCGCTGTGCCTCTCCAAGCCTTTGCTTTTAGCCACTTCTCTGTATTACATACTGGCTTAACTAGCATTGTGCCTGCCACGTAGTAGATACTCAGTAAATATTTATAGATGAATATCTGTTTTTCAACAAGTACATTTTTTGTTTAACCCTTTTAATTAAGAAATCTTTTATTGATTTTTTTTTGGGGGGGAAATTTTTTAGGATCTGATTCTTCTGAAGATACAATTAATAAGAAAACTTACTGCAGGTGAGTCAAAGAGAACCTTTTTCCATGAAGCTGGTATTAAGGATTAATGTCTCTCTTTTTAAAAATATTTTAACTTTTGTTTTCGATTCAGGGATACATGTGTAGGTTTGTTATATAGGTAAACACACAACTTGGGATTGGGTGTACAGATTTTTTTCATCAGTCGGTGCTAAGCATACCCCACAGTTTTTTTGTTTGTTTTCTTCCTTTCTGAATTTCTCCCTTCTCCCACCTTCTTCCCTCAAGTAGGCTGGTGTTTCTCTAGATAGAATCATGGTATTGGAAGAAACCCTATAGATCATCTAGTTTAGTCCTCTCATTTTATAGTGGAAAAAATACCCTTTTTGTTTGTTTGATTTAGGTATTAGCACTTTCCAAAGGAATTTAGGACAACAGTAGAACTTTGCACATCCTTGCTTCTGCCAGATTGTTGTTCCCTAAGTTCCTCATGTACAGGAATGTTGACACAGTAGTAATTGTGACTGATGAAAATGTTCCAGGACTTCGTTTTCAACTCTTTCTGTTCCTTATTTCCACTTATCTTTCAAGCTTTGTCTATATAACTTATATAACAATCTACAAGCAGCCCCCAGCTACGTTACCTACCTTACTTAGGAATTACTGCTTGACCCTAAGTTGTTTTTTTGTGTTTTGGTTTTCTTAAGACGAAGTCTTGCTCTGTTACCCAGGCTGGAGTGCAATGCCATGATCTTGGCTCACTGCAACCTCCGCCTCCCAGGTTCAAGTGATTCTCCTGCCTCAGCCTCCTGAGTAGCTGGGATTATAGGCGCACACCACCATGCCTGGCTAATTTTTGTATGTTTAGTAGAGACAGAGTTTCACCGTGTTGGTCAGGCTGGTCTGGAACTCCTGACCTTGTGATCCACCTGCCTCAGCCTCTCAAAGTGCTGGGATTACAGGAGTGAGCCACTGTGCCTGGCCCAAGATTTTTTTTTTTTTTGAGATGGAGTCTGACTGTGTTACCCAGGCTGGAGTGCTATGGCACAATCTCGGCTCACTGCAGCCTCTGCCTCCCTAGTTCAAGTGATTCTCCTGCCTCAGCCTTCAGAGCAGCTGGGATTACAGGTATGCACCACCATGCCGAGCTAATTTTTGTATTTTTAGTAGATACCGGGTTCACTGTATTGGCCAGCCTGTTCTCAATCTCCTGAGCTCAAATGATTCACCAGCTTTGGCCTCCCAAAGTGCTGGGATTACAGGCGTGATATTGTCAGTTTTAGTTTGCAAATGACTTCCCTAATCTCATAATTGGAAGCAAGTGATTTTTAGACTGAAAAAGCACAGAAAGTAATGTAGCAAAGTGGTGGTTTGCATTCTGTTTGGGTTATCTGCAATCCTAGTGTTCCCTTTGTTTAGATATCCTTGCTTCTGCCTGTCATTAAGATATACTTTTAAGTGTTTTTTAAAAACTATCCTTGCCGGGCGCGGTGGCTCAAGCCTGTAATCCCAGCACTTTGGGAGGCTGAGGCGGGTGGATCACGAGGTCAAGAGATCGAGACCATCCTGGTCAACATGGTGAAACCCCGTCTCTACTAAAAATACAAAAAATTAGCTGGGCATGGTGGTGCATGCCTGTAATCCCAGCTACTTGGGAGGCTGAGGCAGGAGAATTGCCTGAACCCAGGAGGCGGAGGTTGCAGTGAGCCGAGATCCGCGCCATTGCACTCCAGCCTGGGTAACGAGTGAAACTCTGTCTCAAAAAAAAAAAAAAAAAAACTATCCTTTGGTTGTCATTTAAATTTTGGCTTTTATTTGCATGTCCATAAATCAATGTTCTACACTACCATTCTGATTTTTGTGACTGTGCGTCCTCAGTTTTTGACCATTCTATTTCTTTTTTTTCCTTTCTTTCTTTTTATTTAGACGGAGTCTCACTCTGTCACCCCAGGCTGGAGTGCAGTGGCGCAATCTGAGTTCATTGCAACCTCTGCCTCCCAGGTTTAAGCGATTCTCCTATCTCAGCCTCCCAAGTAGCTGGGACTATAGGCACACACCACCACACCCGGCTAATTGGCCATTCCATTTCTTTCTTTTTCTTTTTTTTTTGAAACAGAGTCTCGTTCCCTTGCCTAGGCTAAAGTGCAATGACATGATCTCAGCTCTCTGCAACCTCTGCTTCGCGGGTTCAAGCCATACTCCTGCCTCAGCCTCCCGAGTAGCTGCGACTACATGCATGCGCCACCACACCCAGCTAATTTTTGTGTTTTTAGTAGAGATGGGGTTTTACCATGTTGGCTAGGCTGGTCTTGAACTCCTGACCTCAAGTGATCTACCCACCTTGGCCTCCCAAAGTGCTGGGGTTATGGGCGTGAGCTACCACACCTGGCAACCATTCCATTTCAACTAGAATTTTCTAAAGGAGATAGTAGCTTTCAATAAGTGAATAAGATTGGTTGACTTTCTGCAACTGAAAGAGCTAAAATATTTGATCTTGATCATTTTACAGTTCTGCATGCATATTATTAGTGTTTCTCATTAGGACTTCTGTCTTTTCCCTATAGTGTGGGAGATCAAGAATTGTTTCAAATCACCCCTCAAGGAACCAGGGATGAAACCAGTTTGGATTCTGCAAAAAAGGGTAATGGCAAGGTTTCCCAACCTAATAGGCACTGAAGAGAGAGTAGGTAGATACTGTACTGTAATTAGATTATTCTGAAGACCATTTGGGACCTTTACAATCCACAAAATCTCTTGGCAAAGTTAAAGTATCATTCTTTGTCAAGTGTCATGGTATGGCCCGTTAAATTTCAATGGTACTAACACTAATGTAGTTCTTTTTTTTTTTTTTTTTTTTTTTTTTTTTTGAGACAGAGTTTCGCTCTTGTTACCCAGGCTGGAGTGCAATGGCGCCATCTCGGCTCACCGCAACCTCCGCCTCCTGGGTTCAGCAATTCTCCTGCCTCAGCCTCCTGAGTAGCTGGGACTACAGGCATGTGCCACCACACCCAGCTAATTTTTTGTATTTTTGGTAGAGACGGGGTTTCACCATGTTGACCAGGATGGTCTCGATCTCTTGACCTCATGATCCACCCGCCTCGGCCTCCCAAAGTGCTGGGATTATAGGCGTGAGCCACCGCGCCTGGCCCTAATGTAGTTGTAATAAGACCTTCTATAACTGATTGTTGCCCTTTACTTTTTTTTTGAGACAGTGTCTCACTCTTGCCCAGTCTGGAGTGCAGGTGTGCAGTCTCGGCTCACTGCAACCTCCACCTCCCAGGCTGAAGCTATCTTCCCACCTCAGCCTCCTGAATAGCTGGGACTACAGGTGCATGCCACCACACCTGGCTATTTTTTAATGGTTTTATAGAGAGGTCTCTATAAAAGCTGATCTCAAACTCCTAGACTCAAGCAGTCTGCCCACCTTGGCCTCCCAAAGTGCTGCAGTTACAGGCATGAGCCACTGTGCCTGGCCTGCCCTTTACTTTTAATTGATGTATTTGTATTTCATCTTTTACCTACTGGTTTTTAAATACAGGGAGTGGTAAGTCTGTAGGTAGAACAGAGTATTAAGTAGACCAGTGATCTTTTGAGTACATCAGAACCAGTTTTCTGATGACCAGTCTGCTTTTAATTCACTCTTAGATATTAGAGAAATAGGAGTTGTGGTTTTTGTATAGGGAAAATTCTGAATTTAAAAATTTAACGGATCTTAAGTGGAAATAATCTAGGTAAATAGGAATTAAATGAAAAGTATGAGCTATATCCTCGGTATACTTGGTAGTTCATGAGGTTGGTTTCTCTAAATATAGCCAGTTGGTTGATTTCCACCACCAAGTTGTATTAAGTATGTATTTTTTTAATGGCAATTCAGCTTTTGAATACTTTGTTCTTTTTGTATATTTTCAGCTCCTTGTGAGTTTTCTGAGAAGGATATAACAAATACTGAACATCATCAATCCAGTAATAACAATTTGAACACCACTGAGAAGCATGCAACTGAGAGGCATCCAGAAAAGTATCAGGGTAGTTCTGTTCCAAACTTGCATGTGGAGCCATGTGGCACAAATACTCATGCCAGCTCATTACAGCATGAGAACAGCAGTTTATTACTCACTAAAGACAGACTGAATGTAGAAAAGGCTGAATTCTGTAATAAAAGCAAACAGCCTGGCTTAGCAAGGAGCCAACATAACAGATGGGCTGAAAGTGAGGAAACATGTAATGATAGGCAGACTCCCAGCACAGAGAAAAAGGTAGATCTGGATGCTGATCCCCTGCATGGGAGAAAAGAATGGAATAAGCAGAAACCTCCATGCTCTGAGAATTCTAATAATGATACTGAAGATGTTGCTTGGATGACACTAAATAGCAGCATTCAGAAAGTTAATGAGTGGTTTTCCAGAAGTGATGAACTGTTAACTTCTGATGACTCACATGACGAGGGGTCTGAATCAAATGCCAAAGTAGCTGAAGCATTGGAAGTTCTAAATGAGGTAGATGGATATTCTAGTTCTTCAGAGAAAATAGACTTACTGGCCAGTGATCCTCATGATGCTTCAATATGTAAAAGTGAAAGAGTTCACTGCAAATCAGTAGAGAGTAGTATTGAAGATAAAATATTTGGGAAAACCTATCGGAGGAAGGCAAGCCTCCCTAACTTGAGCCATGAAACTGAAAATCTAATTATAGGAGCACTTGTTACTGAGCCACAGATAACACAAGAGCATCCCTTCACAAATAAATTAAAGCGTAAAAGGAGAGTTACATCAGGACTTCATCCTGAGGATTTTATCAAGAAAGCAGATTTGGCAGTTCAAAAGACTCCTGAAAAGATAAATCAGGGAACTAACCAAATGGAGCAGAATGATCAAGTGATGAATATTACTAACAGTGGTCATGAGAATAAAACAAAAGATGATTCTATTCAGAATGTGAACAATCCTAACCCAGTAGAATCACTGGAAAAAGAATCTTTCAGAAGTAAAGCTGAACCTATAAGCAGTAGTATAAGCAATATGGAACAAGAATTAAATATCCACAATTCCAAAGCATCTAAAAAGAATAGGCTGAGGAGGAAGTCTTCCACCAGGCATATTCATGAGCTTGAATTAGTAGTCAGTAGAAATCTAAGCCCACCTAATTATACTGAAGTACAAATTGATAGTTGTTCTAGCAGTGAAGAGATAAAGAAAAAAAATTACAACCAAATGCCAGTCAGGCACAGCAGAAAACCACAACTCGTGGAAGATAAAGAACATGCAACTGGAGCCAAAAAGAGTAGCCAGCCAAATGAACAAACAAATAAAAGACATGCCAGTGATACTTTCCCAGAGCCGAGGTTAACAAACATACCTGGTTCTTTTACTAACTGTTCAAATACTAATGAACTTAAAGAATTTGTCAATCGTAGCCTTCCAAGAGAAGAAAAAGAAGAGAAACCAGAAACAGTTAAACTGTCTAATGATGCCAGAGACCCCAAAGATCTCATGTTAAGTGGAGAAAGTGTTTTGCAAATTGAAAGATCTGTAGAGAGTAGCAGTATTTCATTGGTACCTGGTACTGATTATGGCACTCAGGAAAGTATCTCATTACTGGAAGTTAGCACTCTAGGGAAGGCAAAAACAGAACCAAATAAATGTGTGAGCCAGTGTGCAGCATTTGAAAACCCCAAGGAACTAATTCATGGTTGTTCTAAAGATACTAGAAATGGCACAGAAGGCTTTAAGTATCCGTTGGGACCTGAAGTTAACTACAGTCAGGAAACAAGCATAGATATGGAAGAAAGTGAACTTGATACTCAATATTTGCAGAATACATTCAAGGTTTCAAAGCGCCAGTCATTTGCTCTGTTTTCAAATCCAGGAAATCCAGAAAAGGAATGTGCAGCATTCTCTGCCCACTCCAGGTCCTTAAAGAAACAAAGTCCAAAGGTCACTCTTGAATGTGAACAAAAGGAAGAAAATCAAGGAGAGAAAGAGTCTAATATCGAGCCTGTAGAGACAGTTAATATCACTGCAGGCATTCCTATGGTTTGTCAGAAAGATAAGCCAGTTGACTATGCCAAATGTATCGAAGGAGGCTCTAGGCTTTGTCTATCATCTCAGTTCAGAGGCAATGAAACTGAACTCATTACTCCAAATAAACATGGACTTTTACAAAACTCGTATCATATACCACCACTTATTCCCACCAGGTCATTTATTGAAACTAAATGTAAGAAAAACCTGCTAGAGGAAAACTCTGAGGAACATTCAGTGTCATCTGAAAGAGCAATGGGAAACAAGAACATCATTCCAAGTACAGTGAGCACAGTTAGCCATAATAACAGAGAAAAAGCTTTTAAAGAAACCAGCTCAAGCAGTATTAATGAAGTAGGTTCCAGTACTAATGAAGTAGGCTCCAGTATTAATGAAGTAGGTTCCAGTGATGAAAACATTCAAGCAGAGATGGGTAGAAACAGAAGGCCAAAACTGAATGCTATGCTTAGATTAGGGCTTTTGCAACCTGAGATTTATAAGCAAAGTCTTCCTATAAGTGATTGTAAACATCCTGAAATTAAAAAGCAGGAACATGAAGAAGTTCAGACTGTTAATACAGACCTCTCTCCATGTCTGATTTCAGATAACCTAGAACAGCATGTGGGAAGCAGTCATACATCTCAGGTTTGTTCCGAGACACCTGACGACCTGTCAGATGAAGGTGAAATAAAGGAAGATACTAGTTTTGCTGAATATGGCAGTAAGGAGACTTCTGCTATTTTTAGCAAAAGTGTCCAGAGAGGAGAGCTCAGCAGGAGCCCTAGCCCTTTCACCCATACACATTTGGCTCAGGTTTACCAAAGAGGGACCAAGAAATTAGAGTCCTCGGAAGAGAACTTATCTAGTGAGGAAGAGGAGCTTCCCTGCTTCCAACACTTGTTATTTGGTAAAGTAAGCAATACACCTCAGTCTACCAGGCATAGCACTGTTGCTACTGAGTGTCTGTCTAAGAACACGGAGGAGAATTTATTATCATTGAAGAGTAGTTTAAATGACTGCAGTAACCAGGTAATATTGGCAAAGGCATCCCAGGAACATCACCTTAGTGAGGAAACAAAATGTTCTGGTAGCTTGTTTTCTTCACAGTGCAGTGAACTGGAAGACTTGACTACAAATACAAACACCCAGGATCCTTTCTTGATTGATTCTTCCAAACGAATGAGGCATCAGTCTGGAAGCCAGGGAGTTGGTCTGAGTGACAAGGAATTGGTTTCAGATGATGAAGAAAGGGGAAAAGATTTGGAAGAAGATAATCAAGAAGAGCAAAGTATGGATTCAAACTTAGGTATTGGAACCAGGTTTTTGTGTTTGCTCCAGTCTGTTTATAGAAATGAGCTAAATGTTTATGCCTTTTGGGGAGCACATTTTACAAATTTCCAAGTATAGTTAAAGGAACTGCTTCTTAAACATGAAACATGTTCCTCCTAAAGTGCTTTTCCTAAAAAGTCAAAAGTCATTCACCCAGTTAGAGTGTCATCTTTGACTGAATGAGATTTAACATCCTAATTATTGGTGGACTTACTTGTGGTTTCATTTTCTAAAAGGAAATCCCGGTGTCCCAAAGCAGGAGTTTAGTCATTTTGTGTGACATGAAAGTAAATCCAGTCCTGCCAGTGAGAAGAAAAAGATACAGCAAGTTGCAGTGTTTATAGTCTGCTTTTACATCTGAACCTCTGTTTTTATTGTTCCTTAAGGTGAAGCAGCATTTGGGTACGAGAGTGAAACAAGCATCACTGAAGACTGTTCAGGGCTATCCTCTCAGAGCGATATTTTAACCACTCAGGTAAAAAGCGTGTGTGTGTATATGTGTGGTGTCCTTTGTATCAGTAATATATATCCCACATTCTCAGGTTTGCTGAAATCTCTTTGAATTAATAGTGTAACAGGTGTTTTGTGGTTCATTGTCTCCTTAAAGTGTAAGCACCTCGATGGAACTCATACCACCTTTTGTTTCACACGCAAACACACACACTGCCTAGCTCATTATAGCATACTAAATATTGAATTTCATGAATAAGCTAAACCTTCAAATCCCATTTGCTAATCCCAGCACTTTGGGATGCTAAGGTGGGCAGATGACCTGAGGTCAGAAGATTGAGACCAGTCTGGTCAACATGGTGAAACCTTGTATCTACTAAAAATACAAAAATTAGCTGGGTGTGGTGGCCAACGCCTGTAATCCCAGCTACTCTGGAGACTAAGACAGGAGAATCGCTTGAACCCAGGAGACAGGTGGCAGTGAGCTGGAATTGTACCACTGCACTCCAACCTGGGTGACAGAGTGAGACTCCATCTCAAAAACAAAAAACATCATTTGGCCTATAGCAAAAACATGACAGCACCATTGTATCAAGAGAGGTGAGAAAAACAAGCCACAGCAGGATGATTAAAAGGGACCTGGATATCTTCATTTTAAGAATATGCCTACTGCAGATCAGAGAAGGTAAGCAAACTGCCTAAGGCCACACAGCCAGGTACAGAACTCTCACTAATATTATTGCCAGCAATTGCAATTTGGGCGTTAATTTTTGGTACCAAGTTGGAGCCTATAGGGTTCTCTTCATGTTAGAGACCATCTAGCCTTTCACTGTTTTGTGTATACTTCTTTCTGTTCTTTATTTTTTTCCTTTTAAAATCTAGTTTGTTTGTTTTGGTTTCTTTGAGACAGGGTCTTACTCTTTCGCCCAGGCTGGAATGCAGTGGGGCAGTCATGGCTCACTGTAGCTTTTACTTCCTGGGCTCAAGCAATCCTCTTACCTCAGCTTCCAGAGTAGTTGGGACCAAGGCTCCCACCAACACACCCAGCTAATTTTTAAATTTTTACTAGAGACAACATCTCACTATGTTGCCCAGGCTGGTCTCCTGGGCTGAAGTGATCCTCCTATCTCAGCCTCCCAAAATGCTGGGATTACAGGCATAAGCAACCAGACCTGGCCTATTTGTTGTTGGTGTTCTTTTTTCCTTTTTTTTTTTTTTTTTTTGAGACAGAGTCTTACACTCTTGCCCAGGCTGGAGTGCAGTGGCATAATCTCGACTTGCTGCAACCTCTGCCTCAGCCTCCTGAGTAGCTGGGATTATAGGCACGTGCCACCATGCCTGGCTAATTTTTGTATTTTTAGTATTTTTTTTTAATTGCTCATAAATCATCTTTTTTCTTTAAAAAAAAAAAAGATTTTTTTAAACCAAGGGCAGTTTGTCTTGATGGAGGACAAAAAGAATTTAAAAAAAAAAAAAATGAGAGGCTGAAGCAGGAGAATCACTTGAACCTGGGAGGCAGAGGTTGCAATGAGTTGACATCATGCTGCTGCACTCCAGCCTGGGCAACAAGAGTGAAACTCCGTCTTAAAAAGAGAAAGTACGCAATTTTACTTTCTGGACCTAATGGTCAAGGCCAATAGTTTGGTCACTTATGAAATAAATAAAAGCTTTACCTTTTTTTTTTTTTTTTGAGACAGAGTCTTGTTCTTGTCATCCAGGCTGGAGTGCAATGGCACAATCTTGGCTCACTGCAACCTCTGCCTCCCAGATTCAAGTGATTCTCCTGCCTCAGCCTCCCAAGTAGCTGGGATTACAGGCTTGCACCACTATGCCTGGCTAATTTTTGTATTTTTAGTAGAGATGGGGGTTTCACCATGTTGGCCAGGCTGGTCTCGAACTCCTGACCTTGTGATCTGCCTGCCTACCAAAGTGCTGGCATTACAGGTGTGAGCCACTGCACCCAGCCAGCTTTACTATATATGTGACCATTTGGTAATGTGAAATGTCTCTGTACAAAAGGCAGAATAGTCTAGAAAAAACATTCTCTATCACAGCATCTAAAAATTAGCAGCATCTTCATCATAGAACCCGGCTATGTCTCCTAATTTTTTTTTTCTTTTTTAAGATGGAATTTTGCTCTGCACCCAGGCTGGAGTGCAGTGGCACAATCTTGGCTCACTGCGACCTTTACCTCCCAGGTTCAAGTGATTCTCGTGCCTCAGCCTCCAAAGTAGCTGGGATTACAGGTGCCTTGTACCACACCTGGCTCATTTTTTTTTTTGTATTTTTTTAGGAGAGACAAGGTTTCACCACGTTGGCCAGGCTTGTCTCGAACTCCTGACCTCAAAAGATCTGCCCACCACAGCCTCCCAGAGTACTGGGATTATAGGCGTGAGCCACCATCCCTGGCCTCCTAATTTTTATTTGTAGAAGCAGCACCAAAATTTTCCAAGTCCTCATGCAAAAATTCAGGCTCATCTGTTTATTTTTTCATTTGTTTATCTCCCATTAGATTGACAACTTCTAATAGTTTGGTTGGTTATTTGTACTCCTAGCACAGGGTTCTGTGCAGAATACACACAGCAATTGCTAACAGTAATATTGGTGAGAGTTCTGTACCGGGCCATGTGATCTTAGACAGTTTGCTTACGTTCTCTGACCTGCTATAGGCACATTCTTAAAGTGGAGCTGTCCAGACCCCCTTGAATCCTCCTGCTGTAGCCTCTTTTTCTCACCTAAGTCTTAAATACCCTTTTAGCTGCTAGTAAGTAAATGATGTTTTTTTGTGTGTGAAGTTTCTGAAGTCAGATTAGGTGAAGTTGAGAAAAGCCTGATATTCTTGTAAAGTTATATATGTGCATCATAGAAAACTTAGAAAATACATATAAACAAAAATCATCTGTGGATGAACCTTGAAGACATGTTAACTGAAATAAACTGGACACCAAAGGACACATGTTATATGCTTCCACTTATATGAGATACCTAGAATAGTTAAATTTGGTTACTCTGGGCATGCTGCCTGTGGGTTAGCTTTGCTCCACAAGGAACAGTTAAAAACAAACAAAAAAAAACTAAATTCAGACAGAATGTAGAATAGTGGTTACTAGGGACTTGGAGAGGGGGAAATGGAGTTACTGTTTGATGAGTACAGATTTCAGTTTGGGATGAAAACGTTCTGGAGGTGGATAGTGGCAATGGTAACACAACAGTGTGAAAATACATAATGCCCTGAATTGTACTCTTGAAATGATTAAAATGGTAAGTAATTGCAATTTGTGTTATCCAGAAATGGTTACGAATATATTGGTGTGTATTCTTTCAGTATTCCTGCGTGTGTACAGGGGTGCTTGTATATAATTTAGCTTTAAAATATATCCAGTAGGCCAGGCACATGGCTCACACCTGTAATCCTACCACTTTGGGAGGCTAAGGCAGGAGGATTGCTTGAGCCCCAGAGTTCAGGGCTGCGGTGAGTTGTGATTGCACCACTGTACTCTGATCTGGGCAACCTCTATCTGAAAAAAAAAAATTAGTGGGGCTTAGTGGTACACACCTATAGCTTCAGCTACTTGAGTGGCTGGGGTAGGATTGCTTGATCTCAGCAAGTTGAGCTGTGGTGAACCATGATGGTGCCTCTGTACTCCAGCCTGTATAATATGGTGAGACCCTGTTTCAAAAAAAAAGAGAAATTCAGATAATACTGTATGTTGTATCTAGCTTTTACTGGGTCATTAAAATTCTTTTTTTTTTTTTTTTTTGAGACAGTCTTGCTCAGGCACCAGCTGGACAATCTCGGCTCACTGCAACCTCTTCCTCCCGGGTTCAAGCAATTCTCCTGCCTCAGCCTCCCGAGTAGCTGGGACTGCATGCATGCACCATCATGCCCAGCTAATTTTTGTATGTTTTTTTTTTAGTAGAGATGGGGTTTCATTATGTTGGCCAGGATGGTCTTGATCTCTTGACCTTGTGATCCACCTGCCTTGGCCTCCCAAAGTCCTGGGATTACAGGCTTGAGTCACTACACCTGGCTTTTTTTTTTTTTTTTTTTTGAGACTGAGTGTTGCTGTCTCCCAGTCTGGAGTACAATGGCGCAATCTCAGCTCACTGCAACCTCCACCTCCCAGGTTCAAACGATTCTCCTGTCTCAGCCTTCCAAGTAGCTGGGGACTACAGGCACCTGGGATGACATGCCTGGCTAATTTTTGTGTTTTTGGTAGAGACGGGGTTTCATCATGTTGCCCAGGATGGTCTCGATCTCTTGATCTCGTGATCTGCCCTCCTCGACCTCTCAAAGTGCTGGGACAGCTGTGAGCCACCGTGCCCAGCCAGGTCATTAAAATTCTTTTTTTTTTTTTTTTGAGACGGAGTTTCGCTCTTGTTACCCAGGCTGGAGTGCAATGGCGCGATCTCGGCTCACTGCAACCTCCGCCTCCTGGGTTCAAGCAATTCTCCTGCCTCAGCCTCCTGAGTAGCTGGGATTATAGGCACGTGCCACCATGCCCAGCTAATTTTTAGTATTTTTAGTAGAGACGGGGTTTCACCATGTTGACCAGGATGGTCTTGATCTCTTGACCTCATGATCTACCCGCCTCGGCCTCCGAAAGTGCTGGGATTACAGGCATGAGCCACCACGCCTGGCCATTAAAATGCTTAAGTGACTTCATTTTTAATTGCTATATGGCATTCTGTCCTTCTAGTATATCATGATTTATTTGACCTATTGGTGAGTGTTGACGGTTTCAGTGTAAGAGGCACAGTTTGCTATTACATACCTCACTATAGTGGCATCCTGGTAGCTAAATACTTGCCCACATCTCTGAATATTTCCTTAGTATAAATTCCTAGGACTAGGATTTTGGTGTTTGATACATGCTGCTAAATTGTTCTTTTTTTTTTTTGAGACGGAGTTTTCGCCCTTGTTACCCAGGCTGGAGTGCAATGGCGCGATCTCGGCTCACCGCAACCTCCGCCTCCTGGGTTCAGGCAATTCTCCTGCCTCAGCCTCCTGAGTAGCTGGGATTA